TTTACTTGAAATGGATTTACCGATTTATTTGTTTATTTATTTATTTATAATATACTGTAACATATTTAACACACTGCAAGTATTTTCTTTAATTTATATGCTTGCTTCACACGAGACGATCGGTGGTGGGAGTGTTACCTCGTCTCGGTGGTGGGACTGTGTTCCCACTGTTTACTGTACTTTTTTTTAGTAAGTTTTTTTTGTTATATTTTTTACTACAAGTGTTATTTTATGTGGATAAAAATGTTACAATGGACTTAAAACTATAAAAAATCATCTGAGCATGCTTGAAAACATACATATCGACACCAAGATCACCCAGATTGACCAACTACATCAATTTCTATAAGAAAAATCAACTTTTGAAGGTCAATATGGCGGTCATCTTGAAAAATGGTCGCCATCTTGGATTTTTAAATGGCCAATCAGGCAGACTTGACTAGTAACCATTAGAGAATTACCATGCCAAATTTGGTGCTTGTACCACCATTTTCATGATTCTCTTGAAAAATTGCATTTAGCTGCCCCACTAATGTCACCACTCCCATCTCAACATGACACTCGTATACTGAAATATTGTATTTCATACTTCATATGGCTTTACAAAAAGAAATGTCCACGTCTGGTTAAATAACTCTTGTTAAAGGCATTTTGTTTTCTTTATAAACACTTTATTATACAGTACAGCAAAATAATATACATGTAGATATAATACCAGTTGAATAAACGAAACTAAAAAACTGGAGATTGTAATTACAGTGAAGCCTTGACAACTCCATTATGAAGTTAGGGATTAGATGACGCCAAATTCAATCACCTTAATGCACTTAAAGAGAGAGGAGTCACCGTGCCAGGGCTTAATATTATCCTGGACCCTAGAGGTTGATGACATATTCAGTGTCAGGGGCAGAAATACATCGATGTACACAGCACCTGATCCCAATCAATTCCAGTATAGGTGTTAATAATGTAGAGATGACCAGGTGTGTTGCACGTTGGTAGTGTTGGATGGTGATGCAGGAAAGAGGTAGTGTGTTGAGGGTGGTGTGTGGTTATGACTCACTCCCACAACCCCCCCACACCACTCACACATCCTCACAACTGTACCACAAAACCCCCACACTACTCATACAGCATCCTCATAACACTACCACAACCCCCCCACACCACTTACACATCCTCACAACACTACCACAATCCCCCACACCACTTACACATCCTCACAATACTACCAAAACCCCCACACCACTTACACATCCTCACAACACTACCAAAACCCCCACACCACATACACATCCTCACCACAACCTCCCACACCACTTACACATCCTCCAGCATCCCACATCACAACACTACCACAACCCCCCCACACCACTCACATCCTCACAACACCACTCCACATCCTCACAACACTACCACAACCTCCCACACCACTTACACATCCTCACAACACTACCACAATCCCCCACACCACTCACACATCCTCACAACACTACCACAATCCCCCACACCACTCACACATCCTCACAACACTACCACAACCTCACGCACCACTCACACATCCTCACAACACTACCACAACCCCCCACACCACTCACACATCCTCACAACACTACCACAACCCCCCACACCAATCACACATTCTCACAACACTACAATAATAAAATTAATTATTTCTAGTGTGGTCGACTTCCTACACAAAGACAGGCTATAAATAGCAGTCTTATCTCAACCTCCTTCCTTCCTCCTCCATCCCTCTGTTCTCAGAGAGGTCTTGGTAAATAACTTTTGTTTGTTTATTTTCATTGTTTGTCTAATTTATCATGTTGTATCAAAGTAATATTACTAAAAGTTTTAGGCAGCTACCAAACAGGGAGATTCTACTGCCTGGGAAGATATTGGAAGCATAATGTACAGTATTGTCTAATGGTAGACCCTATTTCCATATGGCATCATGAAAATTGTGACCAAGTCTTAGGTTGCTAATTTATCTTTCTGCCTCATTTAAACACAATTGCAGAGTTTCAATTGTTTCTCTTCCTTTGACAACACAACATACATACAATATAATGTTTCTCACCTTTGATCTTTTTTCCATTTATTTATGGTTGGTTATTTAAAATAATGCCAATTCACTTCAAGTATTGGCATCAAATTTTACCGGCTGGTGTACACTAGTGACTCACTTAAGGGGCAGTTATTTAATTGGAACTAATGTTGGTGTGAGTAAAATATTTCCATTTACTTGAAATAGATTTGCCGATTTATTTGTTTATTTATTTATTTATAATATACTGTAATACATTAAACACACTGCAAGTATTTTCTTTAATTTATATACTTGTTTCGCAAAAAAGGGAGGCTAGCATTATAACTGGTAGGTGATCATTAAGGACCAAACTCCGAATCCATGAGAATCCATGACGTGACTTCTGTTCATCATTTATATCCTAAATTTACCACTGTCGGTAGTTTCAAGAATTAACGCAGTCATTTACTGAATATTCTTTGTAAAAAAATAAATTTTAAATTAATTATTTATAGGAGATAAGTATTATGATCAGTAAATATACAGATATGCATTACTGACCACCTCCGAACACAAGGACAGCTAAAAATAGCCACAGGCGGTCACAGTCAAGGTCACTTTCCCTGGTAGGACTTTGTGAGTGGTTTACCATGTTTCCATCACCACTCTTGACCGCAATATTTAAGAGGTAAGAATTTTATACTTGGTGATTAAGACGACCCCCTAACTTTGGGCAGATTTTTTTAATGTTCAAATTCCGTCTTATAAGCCGAGATATACGGTAAGCACATCAAGAAATTAACAATAACATCTCAAAATCTACAAAAAATTCAACAATGATGTTTGAAGGTGCTTTTTAAAATAATTCAATGCACTCACGAGAGCAACATCATCCCACTTTAAGAATGTGAGGGTAAATGAAGGGCTTCCATAGACCAATATTCAAGGTACGAGTTTCTTGGTTGATTGATCGCAGTTCCGCCAATAGTTTTTTCTTATGAATGTGTATATTATATTTATGAACTGTGTGTAGTAATTAGGGCATTTTACCCTACTGTCCGGGTTCCCTAGAGGCTCAGGCCTCAGGGATTCCCCCCCCCCCCTCCTTTGGCCTGGATATGGTAATGACTGGAAAATCAGACTTGGCAACCCCACATACCTCAGTCTTTGTTCAGCCTGCATATGTATCATATGTACCTCTCAAACATTCTTATAAGTTTATTTACATTTCTCACAGGTAGTATTTTTTTTTATTAATAAGGTTTTAGCAATAAAAGTTGTTAAGCGAGTCACACGTCACTAATTTCATCATTTTCCTTCTTTGCCCTACTTCATGACTATGCTTCCTATCACTTAACAATGCAGACTAACAGACTGTAATTAGCATTTTCCCTTCACAAATTTGTATTCGATTAATGAAAGATATTATCAAACTTAAACACATATTATAAAAGAACACAAAAACTAACAACAATACAACAAATTGTTGGTGTTCTTGAACCTACTACAGTACCCCCTAACCTCTTAATTCCCATTGAATCCGCTGTTATTATAATGTGATTTTTTATAACGCAATGTTCTTCAGGAACACAAATGTACCCCATACTACACAAATGTTCGCTATACAAATTACAGGTTGGGTATTCTTTATCTGAAATGCTTCGGGTCTTAAGGGTCTCGGATATGGGATATTTTTTAATTTTGGAATACCTATATCCTGTATAGAGAACCTGTATAATGCAGTAGCTCACCCAGCAGGGATGGGGTCCAAGTCTATGAACAAAATTCATTTATATTTCATTTACAGTATATGGATACATATATTCAGCATGAAATATAAATCAGTCATTTTGGCTATATAACATATGATAAGATGTACACTATAGACTCAGAAAGGTAAGCAATCACTACCGTTTATTTGGCATCACCATGACACCTGACTCCGAGGTGTTAAGTAGCCTGTGTCTTACCTTTATTCATTACACATTCATACTTACCCTAGTAAAATTTATGATATATGAAACATTCAGTGTATTATCTACCATAAATATAATGAAGTAGAGCATTTCGGACTTGAGAATTTCGGATAAGGGATACCCAACCAGGACTGTATTCTGTGCTTATAAAAGGCTTACTGTATTCTTAAGTATAATTTTATTATGTCTCGAGTTAAAAAATAAATAAATAAAAATCCTTAGGAACTCAACTCAATCAAGTAATGGAAGTCAGGGGTAAATAGTTTTACAGAAATATACTTTATGAAAGAATTTTTAAGAACATATCCTTTCCACAAACTGGGAGATAAGTGTACCATATAAATGTTTACATAAAATGAGAGTTGCATAGTACAGCATACAAAATTCATAATTTAGTCAGGACGAGGTTAAATTATATTGTCCTTTTTAAATTGATAATTGTTGATTCAAAATCAATAACACTACGAAATTTTGTCTCTCTCATTAGATACAAAAAAATAATAATAATTTGATGTTTTTGTATGCATCACCCAACTTTTAATTAAGTACTGTACACAGGACTTTCAGGGAGACCAGCTAGTTGGCTGATCCTGTTATGTGTGTGTACTCTGCCTAGCTACCAGGTTGTGTTGTGTTATCATTTACTTCATTCTACAGAAAACAAACTGTTCAAATATCAAATTCAATATACTGTATTGGCAGGATGAAGTCATATGCATTATATTTGGTAAAACATCAATTATCAGTAGGTTTCAGATTTCATCTGCCAATCAAACAAAACAAGCAAATTTTTTTAAAAGAAATACCCTTTCAGTACACTTCACAAATAAAAGACTGGTAAAGAAATAGTTGTGGAAATACCAATATTCGATATACTTATATGAAAATACATGCATGTCATGAGAAAGCACCAAGAAAGAACAAATTACTGTAACCATAAACTCTAAGGAGACCCATGTTAACTCCCAGTCATTTACCCAAATCACGCTACCCACCTTTTGTGGAGTGGAAAGATGCAAATCCCAGCACCTCACGCATCTGCTTCTCCTCTGCTGACAGTTCTTGTGATGGACCATCTAAAAATGGAGAAAAAAGAAATAAGCACACAACATAAATGCATATGTATGTGTGAAACAGCCCTCCAAGGTATGGTACAGGTTGACAATCCTTTATCCGAAATCCTTGGGGCCGGAGGCATTTCGGTTTTTGGATTTTTTTTTTTTTTTTTTTTATTAGCCCACCCGAGCATAGATCACTGACCCACATTGGGGCCTGGGGGTCTAAAATATAATAAAAATTATAATAATAATAATAATAATAGTAATAATAATAATAATAATAATTCATAGGTCTAGGTCGTGTTTCTCACTTTTGATCTTTTTTTCTTCTTGTATTTCTTTACTGTATTAATATTTTATTATTACAGTATTATTGTTATTATTATTATTATTATTTTTTATTATTATATTTTATTATTATTATTATTAATTTTATTATTATATTTTATTATTATTATTATTATTGTAATCATTATTATTTTATTTTGGTGTATAATTATTAAAAATTTTATTATATTATTATTATTATTATTACTATTTTTCCGCCCCCCCAGGCCCCGATGTGGGTCAGTGATCTGTGCCTGGGTGGGCTAATAATCCCTTTAGAAAAAAAAAAAAAAAAAGCCCCACAAAAAACTTTCGGATAAAGGGTTGTCAACCTGTACAGTACAATTAATCCCAAGGGCATGGAGTTAAAAATACAGCCGGCCCTTAACATAAGCTGGTTTATAATACACGGATTTGCAAATACGCGGATTGCCCCGCCGGAGGAATATTCTGTACATTGAAGAAATTGAAGTACATTCAAATCGAGCGCCATTCAAGTCGCGCGCGGCACCGAACACGGGACAGTGCCCGCTCCCGCAACCTCACACACACACACACATAGCTCTCCCTAACTTAGTCAGTCTCGCTGTAACCACGCTTGTGTTGACATCAGCATTGTAGTTGCAAAAATATTACATTTCCGTGAATGTATTACAGTTGTACCCCGCTTTACGCGGTTTCACTTAACGCGATTTCTCATATACGCGGTGCCTCGCCAGAACCGAACTTTCACTTAACGCGGTTAATCTACCCATATACGCGCAGAGTGTCCGGCTCGAGACGCTATTTTTAGATTCGCCCCACCCGCCACCCGCTCCCGCCTGCCTCGCCTCTCCCTCCTCCTCCCTCCCTCCCTCCCTCCCCTCCCGCCTCCCTCCGCCTGGGCAAGCCGTGCTGTAAGGTTACGCAGTGTGTGTCTTCTACTAACGTAAGTGTTACACCTAACTTTTAGTTTTCCGAATCTAACCTTTATTTTTCCTAACTTAACCTTTATTTTTCCTAACCTAACCTCTTCTATATTACTTGTTTGTTCATACCATCATAAAGTTAAGATCAAATTTTTACTACAACATAGTTGTGTGTCGTCAAAAAGTGGAGTTTGGGGGTCGGGCCAGTCTCTATTGGAATTAATCCCATATGTTCTGTTGTTCACTTAACGCGGTTTTCACTTAACGCTGTACCCTGTGGGTTCAATTGACCGCGTAAAGCGGGGCACAACTGTATATCAAGCACAGTATGAATAGAATATCACAAATATAGGAGTATTTTAACCAAAAACTACTAAAAAAACGAGTAACATATCTTGAACATCGGAAGGCAAGGTAAAGTCTTTTGTTTTCATGTAGTTTATCCTAATTTACATTGAAATGCATTACGTTTCAGCAAAACTACTATTTATTTCTGAGAATATGGAAATGTAATATTTTGCTGAAATGACGTACGTATTACAGTGGAAAGTGACAAAAGCAATGACTCGCTTTCTTTCGTTCAAAAGATGTTACCGTAATCGCTTTTCGAATGGTTTTCAGTTAAAAAACTGTTGTATTACAATAATATTCTATCCTAATTCACTTGTGATGCAACAGTTTTTAACTGAAAACCATTCGAAAAGCGATTACGGTAATATCTTTTGAACGAAAGAAAGCGAAAGTCATTGTTTTCGTCACTTTCCACTGTAATACGTACGTCATTTCAGCAGAAATATTTCATTTTCGTGAATGTAGTATATCAAGCACAGTATGAATATAATATCATTGTAATATAACAGTATTTTAACCGAAAACTATTAAAAAAGCGAGTAACATCTCTTGAACATTCGAAGGTTAGGTAAAGTCTTTTGTTTTCGTCATGTATTTTATCCTATTTTACATTGATATACATCACGTTTCAGCAAAACTACTATTTATTTCTGAGAATATATTCATTCAGGCACAGTTTAGGTAAAATATACATGTGCTGTAACATTTTTTTAATTGAAAACGATTCAAAAAACACGTACCCTCTAGCCCTGCTCAAGGAGAAGACTGGGAGGAGCTGTTTGGTGCTTAAGACGATGACAAGGAAAATGATTTTGATGGATTTTAATGAAAATATTCAGAAAGACCCTGGCACTGTCAAGGAAAGTGGCTGCTGAAGGCTTCCGGGACATGGCAGAGGACGAGATTAGGGAGCTAATTGAAGAGCACGACACTGAGCTGACCGAGGAGGATCTACAGGAGTTAGTAGACTCAGGCAAGGAAGAGGAAGCGAAAGGGAAAGAGGATGAGGAAGAGCACCAAGAAATAACATTGGAGAAGTTGGGGGAGATGACCAGGAATATTGAGGCACTGAAAAACCTGGCCTATAGTATGGACCCCTCCATGGTGCGTGCCCTGAAATTCATGCGAGGGATGGATGACGTTTTCGCTCCATACAAAAACATCATGGAAGAAATGAATGAAAGAGACGACAACTCCCCATCACCATGTTCTTTGATCACCGAAGGAGAGATTTAACACCATCAATCACTGGCGGCAGTGAGGAAGCAGCTGAATCCACCGTCGCCCCCACTTCACCACCCGTTATGGAATTGAGTGACGATGAGCCCGATGACCCCCGTCCTGTCGCCGAGGATAGGTACTGTACAGTAAAGTGAAATTTTTATCTCTTTTTTTTAATAGCTTTTCTTGCCATGTTTATTGTTTGTAAAAATGCACAGCACAGTACAGTTCAGTACTGTACATAGGAAGTGGAGGTGCAGTTATTCACAAAACATTTGTGTTCGTTGTCGGCAGTAGTGACGGGGAGGAGGCAGAGGGGGTGGAGGAGGCAGAGGGGGTGGAGGAGGCAGAGGGGGTGGAGGAGGCAGAGGAGGTGGAGGAGGCAGAGGAGGGAGCGAGTTGGGAGGAGTGGTGACCTTGGACGCGGGAGCAGGGACGAGTGGAGATGCCAGCCAGTACATTACGGGCGTATTAATTGTTTTTATAGCTATTTTTGCATTTTAATATTAAATATTGTACATTACGTTTCAACAAAACTACCATTTATTTCTGAGAACATGGAAATGTATTATTTTTGCTGAAATGATGTACGTATTACAGTGGAAAGTGGGATAAAATTGTGACGAAAGCAATGACTTTCTCTTTCTTTCGTTCAAAAGATGTTACCGTAATCGCTTTTCGAATGGTTTTCAGTTGTGGGATTATAAGGCTAATGATAGGATAGAATATTATTGTAATACAGCACGAGTACAACAGTTTTTTAACTGAAAACCATTCGAAAAGCGATTACTGTAAAATCTTTTGAATAACGAAAGAAAGCGAAAGTCATTGTTTTCGTCTTTCCACTGTAATATGTACGTCATTCCAGCAAAAATATTATATTTCCATATTTATTTCTGAGAATACCTATATTCATTCAGTCACAGTTAAGGTAAAATATACTTGTGATGTAATATTTTAATGAAAATACGGTATCGTAGTTTTCTTTTGTTTCAAATTTAATTAACAAAGATTGATGTTTCAAATGTAATGAACAAAAATTTATGTACAGTATCTATAAATAAACTTCAATAAATGAATACTTTGTTTTACATCGTCCTGTGCTGCCATACCATGGATTTGGCTACTTTGGGCTTGCTATGATGACGCAAGAGGTCTGCCCTGGCAACTGTGCCGACACTCACAGCTGGTGGTGCGTTGGTGCATCGTTTCCATTGTTTACTGGTAGTTACTGGTAAATATTTTTCAACCTAACGAAACTATTACCCGTTCAGAGGTCGAGCCCCAATTTTTTGCCAAATAATTTGGTCTTAAAAACTTGAACTACACACAGGTATATACGGTAAATAAGGACATGGGGGGACCAGGTTATTTTTTTTGGGGGGGGGGGGCAGCACCACATATACGCGGATTTTTAACATCCACGGGTATCTCTGTTACGTAACCCCCGCGTATGTTAAGGACCGACTGTACCACTCCTATACGTACTTATATTATGAAAGAGAAGGAAAAGCAAACAAGACAAATGTGTGTAGGCAGTAAGTACTAATGATAAAATAAGGCAAACTAGTTGAATTTATGATGAATAGAAGGAACTGGAACATTTTTACTTCAGTAAAATGAAGTTGCAAAGTAAATAAGAGGTGTACACATGCAGTACTGTACAGTGATATCCTTGTTAGCCGGAACAATTGGTGCAGAGCACTTCCGGGAATGAGAGATTTCCGGCTAACCAGGCAACTTTCTCAAACCCAGAAAAATCCTCCAACCCTGTAAATATTTCTTGTTACTGGAAATACTTTCCGAATGTCTAAGCTATGCATCTTGCACAGACAAACACTAGCCCACATCCTCAGAATGTGTCTGTGTGCTGGGGAGTTTTAGAGTCTAAACTACCAGTCTGTAAAACCAGTTCTAATTAAGTTAGAAACTCCATTTGCTAACTAAAATAATCCAGAATGCTGTAGTTTATCTTAAAGTTTGGTTAAACAAATATATTTAAAAACTAAAAATCCATATATGGTTGTGAATGAAGCTGCATTACAGCAAAGACTGGTATTTTCCACTCCCATGCAGCTGTGGGGGATTAGTGGGTTTCGTGTGACTGACCTGACCTGACAATGTCAGGTGGAGGTAAGATAGGATTTTTTTTATTTGCCACCCCCCCCCCCCTACATCCTGTGTAAGGTGAAGCGCAGAAGCATTTACAGCGCCCAACAGAGAAGCATGCTAAGTTCATGCTTGCCTTTATGTCTCATGAGTTAAGGGAGTAGAAGCCTGAAGAGTCAATGGTTTTTTATGTCATCAAGTTATTGGAAGCTCCAACAACTCTCCCTGAATACGAATTCGCAACTTTCGATTTACAACAGGTACCTACATCACTGCTAGTTATATTAGAGGTCTCATATTACAGTACTGGACCTTCTGATACAATGTCAGGTCACCCATTGTTGGATGGGGAATTAGTGGGTCTCAGGACCTGAAAATGTCTTGAATAAGCATGAAAGCTAAAATACAGCATTTTTTATACTTGCTGTACACTTATCGCAATGTGTCCCCTCAACATTACGTTACATAACATTTTAAAAGATGGAGTGAGAAAGCAAGGTGTGGGTGATTAGAGAGATGGAGTGGAAAGGAGTGGTAACATGCACCAGTGTTGCCAAGCAGTAAGCTCCTCAACAGCTGTTCTTTTAATTCACCACCAAGCAGTTAACCACGCATAAATTTATGTCATACAATATGGGATTGTGTGGGTGGTGTTAGGGTGTCTGCCTCCCTCCAACTCATTGTCTCACACAAAAGACTGTAAACTAGATGTTAGATGTTGTCTGTGTGTGTATGATGTGGTGTTGGGGTATTAATTAATGAATTAATAAATAATCAATTTTATATCGTAAATGACAGTCGTTTGATGAATAGTAGCGTACTGTACTACAATTGTCACTACTATTCATCAAACTACTGTACTGTCATCAAGGTTTATGAATGGCAAGGGGTTTAATTTGTTTGCTTATAAAATGTCACTCACTTGACTTGGGAGAAAATAACTTGCATTGCTGGAATTCTTGTAAGATAATGATTAATTTAAGTACTGTATAAACATCCCCTATTTTGCACCAGACATAATAAGTTTAGTAATTAACTTAGCACATTTGAGTACAGGTTGTGATAATTTATGTTTTTGTAGTTTCAAAGCATTGTGACATCACTACTGTATAATGCATCTCCAAATGCCCTGGTTTATTCATTGATCAGTTGTCTAAGTGCAAAAGTCGCCCAGTTGAGCCATCATGTATCAATTAATTTTAAAATAGAAATTATAATGTAAAATGTTATAAGACAATGGTTTAGTAGTGCTGTTAATACGTGTGTTGTCTACGTGTCTTGGAATGTCTCCTCACCACCTGACTCCTGAACAAACTCTTCTCAACTTATTCAAATTCTACAATGTGCTTGGCAAGCTCAAAACACACACACATGAGAATTAAGACAACAAGCGTCCAGTGAGGGTCTTGTTGTGTGACTGTGGAGGCAAATTAAAAGATCAGCTGTTGAGGAGCTTATCGCTTGGCAACACTAGTGCATGTTACACTCCATCTCTCTCATCACCCACATATTTCTGCTTTCTCACTCCACATTTTAAAATAGTATGTAATATAATGTTGAAGGGATACAACTCTGCTCATTTATTCTTATACTTATCACACTCTCCCTAAAAATACTTGAGGTTTTGTGTTTATTCAAGACATCTTCAGGTCATGAAACCCACTAATCCCTAACCCAAGTAAGGGTGACCTGACATTCCATCAGAAGGTCAGTAATATGAGACCACTAATTCCCCACCCTACCTCCACCTGACATTGAGTCAGGTCAGGTCCCTTCCAAAAATACTTAACTTTCGTATTTATTCAAGATATTTTCAGAAAATGCTCTCAATTTTCTACCTCGGAAGATTTGTTCCCAAAGCTGGATTATTTTTTTAATTCCGGTTTGTGAATGATTTTCCGAGCAAATTTCAATTCCAGCTATTGGAGAGTTCCGGGTTTGAGGGATTCCGGCTAACGTAAATATTAATGTACATACCCTGTACTAAGACAAGTGAGGTGTGATATATCAGAGGCATCTAAAGGATGAGTTTATAAAAGAGGGATTTTACTGTATGCTTGACAGAAAATTAAAATGTACTGTATGATGAACGACATACAATACACGGATTGAAAGGAAATCAAACAATATTTGACCATTATTTGAAAAAAGTGAAAATAAAAGTAACTGCAAGCTTTTGAACAAGAGAGAATTCAGGAAATGAAAATAATGTTATAGAAGTTGGTAAGCTCAAGGGACAGAATGTGGCTTAAAGATTTAAAGACACACTCAAAAGAAATCATATCCATGTCAATAAAGATAAAGTGGGAGAGATTAAGGAAATATGAAAGCATGCCATTCTGAAACGGTGCAGTTAGGCCTGTGGTGTGTGGGTACATGAGGATAAAAACAAAAACAATAAAAGGCTAGTTTGGCTTGTAATTAGGAAGGGTACAGTATATGTGTCAGCCCCAAATAAAGAGTGATGAATGTTGGGGGGAACACGCAAGACTCAGGAATCCTTCATGCACACTTCTGATGGCAAACACGAACTGGAGGACCAATATTAAATAGGAATTTTCAATTACAACACCAGGAATATATATATGAAACACCAGGAATATACTGTATATGAATTATTGACTACCGTACAGTGCAGTATAAAGTTCATTACAGGCTGGGCAGATTATGTGGAACATTTATTTGTCCTGGGCAAGTGACATTCGAAATTTACTTGCCAAATATTTTGTTCTATTTACCTTGACAAATTTTGGAGGAAAATTTGCTTACCCATTTTTTATGGGAAAAGTTAAATAAATATTTTAAAATAATCAAATATATTATGTGTATTAGCTCACAGATCACTTGTGTCATTTAAATGCCCTTTACCCTCAACCTTCTCCATCCAGTGGTGTTTGAAGAACCCAATCAATTTTCCTTGCTTCTTATTCATGTCGATATTTTCACCTCAATTTGTATCACAACTCTGCTTACACAGTAATCAGTGGGAGCTATTATACAGATTTTCATATCAGGTCACTGAGAATACTCATAAAAATAGGAAGGATCAGCTGTGAAGTCACTGAGGCTGTAGCACAAGTCTGTGCCTTCTTAGCCCAGACTTCTTAGCATTGAGAAAACATTGATGTTAGAGTTTACCTCAACTGTGACGTCACTATATGGCATCAGGTGAAGCACACCTCACTAGTTAGACATGTATGGGTCACTCACCACCTAATAAATATCCTATTTGGATATATTTTCCTCTTAAAACATAAACCAATGCACAAGTTAAGTGCTGGGAACACGAGCATGAAAAATTACTTGTCCGGCCCCTAGTCCAGCCACTGCTAATCTGACAGACTGGTTAAGAGTGAAAGTGAACTAAAGCAGTGATGAGAATACGTGAAGAATAATGTGAAGAATAAAGACATAAATATCAGTTTGAATTTACACAATGAATGAACTGAAGTGTTTCAGGTACTGTATATGGGATTGGCTGTGTCAGCATAAGGAACAATGAGTGGTGAAATACATCATAGACTATCTGAAAAATATCTTATCTACCATTCACTTCAAATGTTTAATACATCCACTGACCCTCATGTCTTCCAGAAGGTCCTGCCATATAAACAGGAGACCTTCGATGGGAACCTCGAGGAGATCTGGATCTTGACCGTGACCTGGAACGAGACCTACGATCTCGCCTCTCACGTTCCCGGTCTCTGTCACGTCTCCCTGGTTCTCGTTCACGGGAATGAGATCTGCGAAGAGGAAAAACAGGTACGGTAATTGTCTAAGTTCCTGATAACATATGAGAATAAAGTAATTCGTTTACTGCATTAATACTTGTTAAATTGCTAAATCATTTGTCCTTCCATGGTCATCCCATTTATGAACTCAGTAGTGTTAACCCCATAAAAAAGTAAAATACCCAGTTATGATCCTCCTGCTAATGGCAGGGATTTGAAAGCAATATAAAAATTTACACTAACTAATTAATAATCTAGGACCATGCTTAGGAGCCACTGAAGAGGGATATTGGCCAGTACTATTACAAATATGATAGGGATATATGTGCTCAAGGAAGGTGATAAAGAGAAGCTGCTTCTCCACTAAGACAATAAAAGCAACCAGGACACCGGAGATAACACCAGTCTGCTTGTTATATGTTGTTGATGGCCTCAGTTATGTCCAGCATCCATTATACAGAGGAGTTACCGTATTTTATGGCATATAAGGCGCACAGCCATATAAGAAGCACCCCCCATTTTAGCAGGAAGTATTTAGGAAAAAACTTTTGTGTGTATTTTCCTCCTGCAGCCATAGTTTTCTTAAAACAGTATACAGTACTCAGTACCAGTAAATGAGGAATAAATAAAAATAATACCAATAAATAAGTTACAACAAAAAATACTGTACAGTGAACCCTCAAAGATCCGAACTAAAGGGGGGACCACCTGTCTGAAAAAGCCGATTGTCCGAATCTTCCGGAGAATGTACTAAATGTATAAAAACGATAAATAATGAAATAAAAAAAAACCACCAAATACAGTACATATTATCCTGACTACTGGGGTCAGTTATACAGACTTTTTCCTGTGAAAAAGCCATAATTCTGAACAACATTTTACTGAACTCATTTTAAATCAAATGTACTACACTACAGGACTAAAAAAAATTCTTTTCTTGCAAAATATGAAATATCTATACTCAAATTATTTGCTATCTTGCAAGGATTCCAGTAATGGAAGCTATATTCTGCTAAGTTTAGTCTGTGAAATTTTATAAGATAAAAACTTTAAGCCTAAAACTACCTTCACCACCTCAGAAGGGGGAGGTGAGGTTGACAGCCAGGCAGGGGGGAGGTATTTACCAGCCGGCAACGAAGGTTACCTAGTGGTATTTATTTATTTGTAATATAGAGGGAGTTTAAGTTTTTTGCTTATAAATGTCACTGAACTGACTTGGGAGAATATAAATTACATTGCTGGAATTCTTGTCAGATATTGATTAATTTAAATATAAACATACTATAGTTTGCACAACACAAAATTTTTGTAATTATTTAGTACATTTGAGTACAGTACAGGGTTGCCCTTTGGACAATTATTTCTTTTACTTTTTTTCACAATATGTATTAAGGATAGTGTGAGCATATAAATAAGCAAAGATAAATGAAAAAAGTTACATATGTCTACCCAATAATACGAGTTGAAAAACTTGTAATAAAATGTACTACATAAAAGAACTAAAAATTGGATATCTTGTGTAATATATATATATATATATATATATATATATATATATATATATATATATATATATATACAGTGAGTTCTGCTATAACGCGTGTTTTGATAACGCGAATTTGCTCTAACGCGATTTATGAATTAGGAACAATATTTGTATAACGCGAACGCTTGTTTGCTATAACGCGATTTTTGCTTACTATTTCTCCAATTTTGTGGTATTAACTGTGAATATGGTAAAGAAGAATATCTCCAAGAAGCGTTCTGGTGATAGAATTCCCGGTGATGATCGTAAGAAAGGATATAACACTTGAAGAGAAGCTCGATGTTATCAACCTCAAAATCACCCTTCTCCCCCATCAAGTTACATTCATATTTTGTCAAGGTAAAGTATTACATTTACTGTATGATTTCATTATTAGATATGAATGTAACATTTATTTAGACTGTGCTATCCTTTGTGTTAGGCTAACTACTAAATTTTTTCGATTTCGAGTAATCTGCACCTAACCCTATTTTCTCCATAAGCCCTGTTATTTCTATTACGCGATTTTCTATAACACGATATTTTACAAGAACACAATTATCGCGTTATAGCAGAACTACTGTATATATATATATATATATATATATATATATATATATATATATATATATATATATATATATATATATATATATATATATATATATATATATATATATATATATATATATATATATATATATATATATATATATATATATATATATATATATATATATATATATATATATATATATATATATATATATATATATATATATATATACACACACACACAGTGGTCCCTCGGTTAACGAGCACAACCCGTTCCAGCAGGTTGCTCGTTAACCGAAAAACTCGTTAACCGAAACCATTGTTTGAATGGGTTTTTGGGTAATTGGTTCCAGCTCACCGAAAATTGCCTAAATTCAACAAAAAAGGTAGAAAAGTTCACTTACTTTGAGGTGCGTATGTAGAAGGCTCCTGGATGATAATGATGATGGGAATTAGAATGGGGGTGGAGGAGAAGGAAGAAGAGAAGGCATTGGGGTGGAAGAGAAGTCACCCCATGGCACCATTTCACCCATAAAATTTTAGTTCTCTTGGTGTATTTCAAGATTATTTTCTTTAAATCAACACTGCACTGCATTATATATTGTCAATATGTAAAATATATTTCAAAATGACCAATAATTTGCTTGGAAACACAGAAAAAAGAAGCGTTTAGTTGAAGAGAGTCTCAAGCAAGATGTTACCTCCACTGAAAACAGAGAGAGATTAACGCCTGTCTGGTGTGTTAACGGGCTGGATGGCACGCCAGAAACTAGTTTCTTTACCTTCAATTATGTTCAATAATTGTTAAAACGACTAAAAAAGTTAATATTAAACTTTTAAAATTATTGAATAGTATAAACTTCTTGATATTTCCTAAAATAGTAAGGAATTTAAGCCCTAAAACCGATTACTGTATTGGCGGACTAATACTACAACTGGTGGACCGCCAAATGCAAGCGAAAACATGTTGAAGTCGGCTCGTAAACAACTCGTTAATCGAGGGATTGCTCGTTAACCGAAGTTAAGAATCTTATGGAAGGTAAATCGTTAACCGAAATCTCGTTAACCGAGGCGCTTGTTAACCGAGGGACCACTGTACCTGTATAAACAAGCTATATTTGCATTAGACATAACAATTTTAGTACCGTAATCATTTAGTACATGTACAATACAGGTTTGCACTTAGGTCCATTGTTACTGTACAATATTGACTAAATTCACTAGATAACGTACGCCTGGCCGCACAATCTATAAGAATACACCATGCATATGTGACTGTGCCCGTTCTAGGGCCATTTAAGTTCGCTACGTCCCATTATTTGAATGCTTTTTTTTTTCAATTTAAATTTTAATTGTTTATTCCTTCACAGAGGAAGCGGGATCCTAGTGCTGTCACTTGGTACCCCTGTACCATAACACCAGAAGCAACTGGCCAGTCTCACAAGTATATACAGTACAGTACAGTCATCCCCTGGTTATCGCGCCTAATTGGAACCCCACCGATAAAGAAAGTACAGAACCTATGGGATTTATTCTAATTGGTTCATTTACCCAAGACCCAACCCCAAGTTTCCCATCTTATGACCATTTATACCCACTAAATATATATATAATGTTATGGTAAATATCATAAACACACATAGGCATGGCTAGGTTTATTACAAAGTGATGAAAAGGGTACGCTTAATATTGTAGTCCACAAAACATGTAGCTATGCTTTTTTTATTTGGTCCCCCATCATACGAGTAGTTTTCTCTCACATCAGGACGCCTGAGTCCTCCGTTTTCTCTCTTAATCTTAAGAGTGCACCAGAGACTTCACTATTCTTAGTAATGCCACAGAATTTGAAATTGCAACCCCAATTGCAACTGGGGGTGCAATTGTTGAGGCAACTAGATATGTCTGATTACAGCAAATGTGTTATTGTCAATTTGTAGGTGAAAGATTTTATCCTCAATAGATGTAGGTTAACATTACACCTGGAGGCAAATACCCAAGGAAGGAAGCATATTCTTTTAACACATAATAATATCTGACCAGTATGGGGAGGATCATCGTGTCTCCTCAGGGGGTCGTGGCGTGGTGGTCCAGCAGGCGTCACAGATTTGAGGCGATATCTTGATCGGATGGTTGTTAAATTGAGACGTTAACTTGGTAGCAAGACTGTGTGTATGTATGTATGTATGTATGTATATATATATATATATATATATATATATATATATATATATATATATATATATATATATATATATATATATATATATATATATATATATATATATATATATATATATATATATATATATATATATATATATATATATATATATATATATATATATATGATTAACCCTCACTTTCTGTGATTATTATAACCCGGGAGAATTACTGTGGAAAGTGAGGCAGTGTAAAGAGTGAATAACATAACATATGAGGATTGGTGAAATAAGGTCAGGCCGACCCCTGACTCACTTTTTCCAACACAATACCTGTGTTCTAGTAAAAATAACATCTTAATTTTATGATGGTACATGCACACAATTAATACTTAAGAGAAATAGAGAAATACAGTCGCCAAGTTAATGTCCATTCGAATAATGGACACGACTCCCTCCCCCTCTTCTCACACTACACTGCCGGCTCTTCCCTCTGAGAAATTTTGGGGGGAAAACCAGGTATAGTAATAAATAATACCTCAAACTAAAGTTAGGGTAATATAATTGACATTGCTGGATTCCTTGTAAGACCAGGAATATTTTGAATATAAATGTCATATATTTTTCACAAAAGATAACATATTTACTCAGATTAAACATTTTATCTAAAATTTGCATGTCTAATGCAAAATATATGATGTTTATATTCAAAATGATCAAATTGTAAGAATCCCAGCTATGTAAATTATATTCTGGCCGGGTAATTTGTATGA